AAACACTTGCATGGGAACTTGTGCCCAAAAATCATGAAGCTGTTGGAGGAATTGAAAAAGAAGTCTATGGGTTTTATATGTCACTGGAATGGGGAAGACCAGTTTGAAGTGGATGGAAGCTCAGGGAGATTCAGAGTTCATATGGGGGAGAAGTCATGCACATGTAGGAAGTGGGACCTCACAGGTATCCCTTGTGAGCATGCAATAAGTGGTATGTTCTTGTTGGGTGCTCAACCAGAGGATTATGCTGTTGACTGGTACCACAAAGACACATTTTTGAAGGCTTATTCTGAGATGTTGGGCACTCTTCAACCTCCTGAATGTTGGCCAAATGTAGAAGCATTACCACTACAACCACCAACTATTGGCAGACTACCTGGAAGGCCAAAAGAAAATGCTAGAAAAAAACAGCCCCATGAAGAGGTTTTGGCAGGAAAATCCAAGAAACAAGTTCAAGTAAGGCTGAGTAGAAAAGGGAGATTAATGAGATGTTCTCTCTGCAAGAAAGACACCCACAACATCAGATGTTGTCCTTTAAAAACTGACAAGAGTGCACCAACTGAAGGACTTCCTATACCTCCCTCTGATGAAGACAATTCTGTGGTCAAGGTAATTGAAATTGTTAAAAAATTATGTGTTTTATTATAAATATTGTTTTCTTCTGAATTACATTGTTTTTTATGAGGAGAAAGAAGAAGAAAACAACTCAGAGAGAGAGTGAAAGTGAAGTACCAGCCCCTATTGAGGACCTTAATGTTGTTAAGGTAATGATCTTTGTTATACATAGTAATTGGTGTGGTTAGTGTATTTTCTAATTCAAAAATTGCATATATTATATATATATATATATTTTTTTTAAGGGGAAAAAGACCAAAACAAGTGGCAAAGTGTGTGAAGTGTCAGCCCCTATTGAGGATATTACTGTGAGGAAGGTAATTTTGTTTGTTAGTTGAACAATTGTTATTATTGATCTATTTTATTCATTCAAGAAGTTTGTTTTCTAACTTGAGATTGCATAAATTGTTTGTGAAGGGGAAAATGAAAGAAACTGTGACAGCAAGTGATGTTTTACAAACACAGG